GGGGGGAGGGAGCGTAGAGGCCTCCCTGGAGGAGGATGGTCCCCTCGGTGGGGCTGCAGCTGCTGAGCCCGCCCTGTACTCCGTCGGTGAGTCCCTCTGGCCAGGGTCGCGGCGGGAGGACCAGGCGGCTACGCGGGAGGCCCTCCAACAGCGTGGGGGCGGGGGGGCGGTCGTCCCTCTTCGCAGCCCCAGACTAAAGTGGCCCTGCACCCGAAGCGTTCCGGGTTCAACTTCTGCTGGTGCTCCGAGTGCAGAGCTCCGCGGGAAAGCCTCTCTGGGTTCATGCCAGCAGGGCTTTCCCCCTTAATTCTCCTTTTCCGCGGCTTCCGCAGCGCTGCCTCTGGGGCAAGGGACGTTGCCACCTTCCCTCTCTCCGGAGGCTTGTAGCAGGACCCGGTCTGTGCAATGTTCCTTGGAAATCTCGGGAGCTCTCCAGAGGCCCATAGGAAATAAAGGGAGTTGAGCAGGACTACTATTGACATGATTGGGTTCCGCAGAAGGCAGCGCAGGCTGCACCTAAAACGAGGAGTGGATCCGAGAAGGAATGGAATAAATGGTATCGGTAGAAAAGGTTACGATTGCTTCTGAGTTAAGCATGTTCAGGTCCGGAAATAGAAACGTTTTTGTTGCTCTTTCTGTTTATTTACATGATGTTTATATACTATCTTGATAAAAATATTGTTTGAGCATTAGATACTCATTCCAGTGAAATGGATAAACGATGGGAAATACTTAGGACAGACTGGAAGGATGTAATCTGGAGGCTCCTGAGACCATAAGGACAGACCTGGAAGTAGAATGAAAACTCTAGGGCTGGAAAAATAATGCCTGGGAATGGACTGACCCTGTAATTAGGATGATGGTTAATGATCCATACTGGAATGTTTGGTCTTAGGCCTGAAAATGCATAGTGTCAACTGAGGATTGAAAGCTACCCCAAGGGACTGAAAGGAGTCCCTGGGGTAGGATAGGAAAGCTTCTGGGAGTTGAATGAGTCCCTGGGGCTAGACATTTCACTATTCCTACAAGTGCAAGGAAAAGGCTGGTCTTTTCAATTCTATGTTATTTAGCACTAATCTCTAGTAAATTATACCACTGAAGGTTTACAGATTCCACTCTCCAAAATTCTCCGAGCAGTGACAAAATTCTTGGAATCTATTGCTTTTTAAAAGATTAGGGCTTTTATGTTTTGTAAGCTGCATCAGAAGAACTTGATTATAGCATGTGGCACACAAAATTTTAAAAGAAATAAAATACTTTCAAATGGTAAGATGGAGTACAAGTGGGTACATATCTCTTCTGTGTCACATTCAACTGCAGGCATTATGAGAAAATATTGTTTTCCCAGAATATTGATTTAGAAATTGCCTGGCAAATAGGAATATTCATCTGTAAATTTCCAGAACATTTGATGTGCATAAGTAAATTTGTCATTCTACTAACCTAAGCTTATGTTCATTCCTGTCTAGGCTGAAACACTGGGAATGAGGAGGGTCCTGTTCTGCACATCTTCCTTTATTATGTATCTTTAAAGCTGAAGGAAGAGATATATTCTAAAAAGAGGCCAGGGTTGTTTGGATGGATGGAACAATAGATGTTTTATTACAATCAGCACAAAACAATATATAACAAAGTTGGTAGCCAGTCTAATAAGGACAATGTCGGCTGTAAAGGATAACTAGACAAAACATTATAAAGCCAGAGAACGGTAAAACAAGACTAAAAGCAATGTGAAAAACCACATAAATGCAATAGCATAAAAGTGGAGTCTGAAATGCTGCAGTAACTAGAGTAATTAAAATATACAATATTAAAAGGCAACTGGTTAGCAAAAGGGGTAGGAAATGATAATTGTCTTAGTAGACAGCAGCAGTGTTCTGCATTAAAGATTCTGTTGCTGGATACCAGGATGTAGATTTTTCCCATTCACTCATCTGAACCTGGATGAGCATGTTGACATGATTTCTTTCATAAAGACCGAAGCAGGAAGAGAAATCACCCAACCTTTTCAACCTGAGGCTTCCATATAAGAGGCTGGCAATGAATGCGACTGAGCGGAAGACCTGTCAACAGCCTTCATGTTTTGAATATGGGCATCTGAATATTCAAGACAAAATGGAACTGTTGAACACACCTGTCTCATGTCATGAACTAGGCTGGATGATAGCTTAAATCACTTTAGCTTGTTTGGGGAAACTTCAGCATAACATACTGAGGCCATCTTGTTGACAGTTACTTGGGGCTTTGTGATAATCATGGCTCCAATTAATATTTAGCTCCAATAACTCAGGCTAGATTTTTTATTGGATTTTCTGTGTTAGATGGGATAATGGTGAGCTAGTTATGGAAAAGACTTCTATAATTCTATTGCCATGGAGAGAGAGCTATTTGATGCATTTTAGACTTATTGGGATTCAGATTTACTCAATCTGGGGGAGTCTGGTGGGTGGTATATCAGCAGAATTAATCATTAGCTACAGGATGTTGATGGATCTGAATTATTTTCTGATAGGTCTTAAGGAACTTCTCGTAATCCTAACAGTATGTTAAATCCTTCCTGATAAGGAAATGGCTTATGTGGTTGGTATGATTAATCCTGCATATTCTGCACTGCTGAGTAGAGCAAAATGAATTATCTGGGTTTTTAAAGCACTTAGGAGATAATTTTTAAAAATGTAATTGTAGCTATAGTAGTATTAGTGCTGTTTGGGGCTACTCTTAAAAAGGGTTCACAAACTTCACTTAGTTCAAAATACTGCCAACAGCTTATTGTCCAAGGTCATTAATGTGAGGTATGTTGATTTTCTTATTTCAACATCTTAACTGGCTACTGGTTTGCTTTACTCCAGAGTTCAAAGCATTAATTATGATCTTTAAACCCCTATTTGACTTTGGAACAAACCATTTGAAAGGCTGTACTCTCCCATAAGAACCTATCTGAGTTGTAAGATCCTCAAAAGACACTCTTCTCTTTGACCTTTACCATGATGTAGAGAATAGTTATAATTGAT